GAGTACGAAGCCGCCTTGTATGGAGTCAAACTATTGAATCATCTAGTTCAATATTGGCTGGACAGAAGCAGGGAAACCATGGCCTTCTAGATATGGTTAGACCAAAACTCCCATCACTCCTTTACCATGGACCATACTGATGGTATTTGCTGTCTAGTACCATCCAAAAGCAACAGGATCCATTGACCAACAAGGCTGGATAAAGTTCTTCCCACAGCTGGAAACGTTTCCTTGCTGGCTGACAATCCTCTGAATACTGTAGCCAGTGGCCATGCCAATGGGGAGAATTATGGGAGTTGTTGTCCAAACCCGGCCATTTTTCTGAGCTGTGTTAGCCCTCCAGGCTCATCATTTCCAGCCCTGCCTGGATGGCACCTGGACTGAACCTTGGTTCCTTTGCATGCAAAGTCTGAGGACTAACACTGAACTATGTCCTATATACATTAAAAATAGCATGCCTCTCAATTCAAGACACCTAGTGTTGTGTCCCTTACTTGCAAGGTCTGTTTTATGGACGGTTGCAGAAAAACTCTTATTGGCAAGTCTTTGGGTCCAAGTTTCAAGTCCAAGTTCCAAACCCCAAGTCTGAGTCCCTGTTAAAAACAAGCTTTTCTCCCCCGAAAAAGGGGGAGGGGAGGGGTTGGGTGAGTTCTGAGTCACAAGTCAAGTCCAAGCCACTGGGGAAAAAACCCAACAACCTCAGGTCAAGTTGCTGGTGTGACTCCAGTCCAACTAGACAGCAAGTCCCGTCACTCGCGCCCCCATCCCTGAAGATGACTAGTATTTTCTAATCAAGAAGCTACGGGGGAAAGTGGAGCAATCAATGTGGTATAAAAAAAAACCCCACCATGTTTAAAGAAAATGGAGTGACAAAACTGGTCCTACCAGGAATAAGGAAATATTTGACATATAGGTGTCACTGACACAAGGGACATGATGCTGAACTGGATGACCAGGCTCTCTCCAAGGAGAAATGGCCAAACCTTTGGTCCATTTGGCCCACAGAGGTCCACTCGGACCACCAGCAGCTCTCCAGGCTTTCAAGCAGAGGAGTCAAGCATGTGCTTCGCTTCTGCTCTATAGACTTTCACAAGTGGCATTTTTTCAGTTAGGGAAGGTTATTGGGACGATCACAGGCCATTCCCATTCTTCATGACACACCTACACTCTTGACTGTTACCCCATGAAGCTTTTTAAAGGGCATGTTGGTACATTTCCAAAAGCTGCCACAGCCAGGCATGGGCCTGCTGCTGATTAAGCAGCAGCTTGTGCCAGTGACAGCTGTATTCGACTTTCTGACTTTTCCTCAGAATGCCGGGAGGAAAAAAAACAACTGATCTCTATGTTTTATTCAGATAAATGTTATGGAGGTGGATGTTGAAAGGCATTGAGATGGAACACAGGTAGCCATGTCAGTTAAGAGTGGGGAACCTTACGACTCTTTCGGTCCTGATGTTGCTGGACTATGCTACCTATCATCCCAGACCACTGGCTGTAACCGCTGGCGCTGATGGGTGCTGGAGTGCAGCAACATCTCAATGTCCACAGATTGCTCACTCCTGATGGCAGGAGCTTCATGATCCTGGTCATAAACTGTCACGCCGGCAGCTGGAATGAAAGTTCAGGACAAATCTACAGGTTTTGCAGGTGCGTGTGTGTGAAAATACTGAAGTGTCAAAAAGCATATAGCATAATTTGTTTTAGAATGATGCAGTATTTTAGCCTTACAAACTGGTTTCACCTGCAGCCTGAAAGGGAAACACAGCTGCTTGTTCACTTAAGTACTGATAAATTATAAACCGCATTTGTTGCCCTGTAAATAGGCAGCTTTGGGGGATGTGTGGAGGGGGGGCAATGAAAGGGGCCATTCTTTGAGTGTCTCCAGAAGGCAAAATGGAGTGTCACATTTGGCTCCAGTTCCCGATCCACCTTCCCGCTCCCCTTTCAAAATGACAATCTCAGTTCCAACCCTATCATTAGGCAAAGATTTCTCGCGCTGAGGAGGAGGTGATCGGCAGTAGGCCCAGCAGGCCTACGCCTTGCATGGCAGCATTTGGAAAGGTACCAACATGCCCTTAATAATCAGGCAGATGAAAATTCAACAAGAGTATCAAGGAAGCTTGCGTTGGAAGAAAAGAGACCCAGCTTTCCTCTGGCTAAGAAGGAGGACAGCTTTGACAAGGACTTCTTCAGTTACATGTTTATTACTTTCTTCTAACCATTTTCGGCCTGCTGCTTCTCTCCAAAGACAGGTCATGATAAAAGCAATGTTTACAAAAATGAGTAACGTTGTTAACAGGCATGTACAATAAATGGAGACACACATATTTAAATAGTCAGTGGTGTGCATGGGTGTGTGTGCAGATACACAGAACACAGGCTGGCTCTAGATGACTCATGTGTACTGGAGAATCATTGAAATCAATGGTACTTAAGCTAGTTATGATTAATTGGTCTCATCCATTCTACTGGGTGTAGGTCTAAGCATAGCTAAGTGATAAAATTAACCTGTCAAAACACCAAGTGGAATAAAACATTTTTGCCTGTTGTAGATACTGGAACATTGTTACAGCCGCATATAACAAACAGACACAGATGTTAAAATAGTCCGTGGTATGTGCTGAATCCAGTTAATTTGTGCTTAAACGTTTCTTTTCAAATAGGCCTTTTTTGGCTACCTGCCTTGGTTTTTTTATATGCCTCACGTTGGGCTTGTAAGTTATAATTTATGCATTTGAGTTTATGTCATTATGTGTTTTTATTTTAATTTGATGTTGTTTGCCCAGAGTAGCGCATGCACTACTGGGGCGGTATATAAATTTGGGAAAGGAGCATTTGATTAGAGTACACTGATGAAATATTGCCGGATAGAAATGAAAGAATGGACGGCAACATGTAGATGGTGCCCTCAAGTGCACCGGCGCTAAGCACAAACCACAAAAAGATGGAAGAGAAATGCTGAGGCCATTGATATTGATAGAAATTGTCTTCCTGTTCTGCTTTTTTCACAAGACTGACATTTTCTGCAGTCCGAGACAAGAAAGCTGTCTCAGGAAAACACAAGAGTATGAATGAATGATGACATACTGTGAATACTTGGCCAAAAAGTGAGTGAACAAAGTGTGGTCATTACAGAGGGTGGAAACCATCCCCATGTCGCTAACCGTAGCCCTGATGATCCCTAGATTTCTTTTCTCCATGCCTTATAATCACCTGAACATTACTGAACAGGGATTACAGAGGGTGGAAACCACCCCCATGTCGCTAACTGTAGCCCTGATCCCTAGATTTCTTTTCTCCATGGCTTATAATCACCTGAACATTACTGAACAGGTAAATTAGATCTAGCACTGAGTATCGTATAAAGTGGTTTGCATGTGTGAACTGGCCATCCAAGCTCTGACATCACAAAGGAACCTTCCACATTACTTCCCAACAGAACTTTCACAACTCAGCTAGTTAGTTTACACATTTAGTTGCCAGGCAGCATACGTTTAATAGTTAAAAGATGAGGGGGGTCAAATGGTGAGAAGCAGGGGCGGCTCACAGATCGGGGACAGGGAGGGGTGACTTGCCCCCAAATTTCATAAAGGTATTCCTCTCGCCCCCCCCGACACACACACCTTGTTGTGTACAATGAGGTTAGGTTTGGCTTGTCTTTGTTACAAAGACAATTTTCCTTACTCAATTTTAATTTGGGGAAAAAAAAAGAGTTTGAGGCCCTAGGCAAACATTTGTAGTTGGACAAGGTTTCAATAAAATTAAATACATAACCATCATGTGTATTAATAATTGTTCTATTACTCAACTGACTTCCCCTTAATCCTATGGATTAGGCATACAGTTCTTTACAGTGTTGCAAGGACAGGTGCTGTGATAGTACTCCCTGGGATCTGATGGGCGTCCTCTTTCAGAGCAGGCAGTGGCAGCTGGTGACACCAGTTTTAGTGAAAGCTGTGAACCCACAATGGGTTTTAATCTGCGCATTGAGAGAGTCATCCAATGAGCAGAACCTATTTGAGGGAAAAGGTGCAGCACCTTGGATAAAGTACACACTAATACCCAGACTGGACTCACAGCAACCCCTTAGAATGGAATCACCAGGCATCACTATTTACAAGGTCCCTCTTTTCCTGCCATCATTCCTGGCTCTTTATGAGGCCTCTCCCTCATTGCCGCCTTCTGCTTATTGGTTTGAGCTGTCTGTGACGGATTAGGAAAGAGATCTTGTTGTGCTGATGGACAATTTGTGTGTAGTGGCAGTGAAGAAGGCCAATTTCATACTAGGGGGATTGAAAATAAAACAGCCAACATTATAATGCCATTGTACAAAACAGTGGTAAGGCCACACCTGGAGTATTGTGTACAGTTTTGGTTGCCGCACCTCAAAAAAGACATTGTGGAGCTGGAAAAGGTGCAGAAGAGAGCGACTCAAATGATGGCTGGGCTAGGACACCTCCATTATGAGGAAAGGTTACAGCGTTTGGGGCTCTTTAGTCTAGTGAAAAGGCGCCTGAGGGGTGACATGACTGAGAGGTATAAAATGACGCAGGGGGTGGATAAAGTGGATAGAGGGAAGCTCTTTTCCCTCTCATGCAATACCAGAATCAGGGGACATCCACTCCAACTGAGTGTTGGGAGAGTGAGAAGAGACAAAATAAAATAGTTTTTAACTCACTGTGTTGTTAGTCTGTGGAACTCCTTGCCACAAGATGTGGTGATGGCATTTGGCCTAGATGCCTTTTTAAAAGGGGATTGGACAGATTTCTGGTACCTCCAAATGCCAGATGCAGGGGAAGGGCATAAGGAGAGAAGTATCTAGTTGTCTCGTGTGCTCCCAGAGGCATCTGGTGAGGCCACTGTGAGATACAGGAAGCTGGACTAGAGCGGCCCTTGGCCTGATCCAGCAGGGCTGATGTTTCTTAAACACTCTCTTAAATACTTTCTAGGGAAATACTCTTTCTATTCACAGGTCCCTACACCAGTTTGTCTCCACTTACCTTCTCCTGGCTCAACTCCAGAATCCTTCCCGTATTTTTTATCTTTCCCTCTTCCCAACACTTTACATTCTATGACACCAACGGCAAGAGCCATTTCCAGGTTCTGAAAATAGAACACAACAGTGCAGCTAAGTGACAGTCTATCCCTAGAAAACAATGTAACCACCAAACTAAATAAAATTATTATTATAAATATTTGTTTTATTCATATGCCGCATTTCTCCCAACAAGGGACCCAAAGCGGCTCACGACATCAAAATTCACACAATTAAAAATACAGTAAGTTAAATATTAAAAGATAAATTAAACAATATATGATTTAAAATTAAATTAAAAGATTAAAACATGGAAAAAGCTTAAAATTATCTGCTGAAATGGGGTTCAGGGATTCAGTTGCAATTGTTAAAAGCCTGCCTGAGGAGAAGGGTCTTTAGCTTTTTTAGGAAGGATAACAGGGAAGGAGCCATCCTGATCTCCCACATTTTGTTTTAAGGACAATGTGGAGGGGCGGGGAGAGAAGAGCCATGTGCATTGCACAGAGCTTGTTGGAAGAAAGACAGAGTATATATGGAACTAATAAATATATAAGAACTACATACTGCATCTCTGCACATGTGTGCTTTGGACGGAATGAATAATGACAAACTCTTTCTAGAGCCAAAAGGGAAACGTAGGATTAAAATGAATGCTGTCAAGTCATCAAGGACTTCTTCAAATTATGTCTCCAAAAAGAATAAACGCCCAGTCACTGTGCCAGAAAGGTGTGTGACAGCTCTTAAAAGGGAAGAATGGTTCAATATAAGCAGAAATACGTGTGGATGCCATCATCTGGTTTGATCCAAACGGTACCCACAGAGATGCATACATTGATCTATACTGTATGTCCATCTAGCCAGCCTCTAAGAAGCTAGATGTAGCATTTTTGGTGAGGGTGAGGATATGGTACAGTGGTTAGGAAGCCATCCTTAAGGATTCACCATTTATTCATTTTGGACGAGATGCTATCAGCATGGCTTCTGTCTGGTGCTACACCATGCTGATCCTTTATAAGTCGGTGAGTATAAATAATTAGATCATTTTGCAAAGGCCTCATCAATCTCCAGTGCTCTGCCTTTCACATTGAAATGACTTTGCACAAGCTCTCCTAAAATTCCCACAGGAAGCTGGAGCAGACAACCCGATGCCCCCAAATAAAAGGCATCTATGGCTATTGCAGGTTGTACAGATGTCTTGTATCGATGTACCAGAAAGGAAAAGCAAAAATCTCACTTTACTAAGCAAATAAGCAAGATTCAATAAAGACACTGTACATTGGGGGAGTTGAGAGCTGGCTCTGAGTGTGATGTGGCGTATGTTTATTTCTGCGTCACACTCATTTCTTCTACCAAGACTGTACAGTGCACACAATGTCCTTAAATGTGCTTGGAGAGTACCCGTGTACGTATACAGGATGGACATTTCGGGATGCACATCCTTCATGACTTTCAGCAGCAAAACCACCACCGCCCTGTGACCAAAGGCCTCTCAAAACACGCCTCCATCTGCCCACTGAAAGGAAGGGAGAGAAGGGAGTCGGCCTTGCCTCTCTCGGAAGGGACTTCCATTGCCTGGGAGCTGCCACGAAGAAGGCCCTTCTCTCACTTCTCCTCACCAAACATGCCCGTGGGAATGGTGGGATAGGCAGAAAGGGCTGTCCGGAAGGTCCTGGGGAGCCTGGGTGACAGCCGGGACCTTCTGGATCTTTGCAGGTGTCACCAGCTTGGGCCCAGAAACGGAGGGGCATCCTTGACCCTTTTGAACCAGGGAACCCGTTGCTGGGGGCAAGGCCTGAGGCAGGAGAGACACCCCCGCCATCTTCGTGGCTGCCTCANCCATCTCCGTGGCTGCCTCAGGCCCCTCTTCCTCGTGTGCCGTTCCCGGTTCCCTGCCGCCTGAGGCGGCCACCTCCTGCTGCCTGAAGGGCAGCTGGGCTCCGAGACAGAACCGCCACGTGGCGAGGATGTTTTCGCCCGGCACTTCCTGCAGGGCGCCGAAAGGCGAGGCAGGTGCCTCACGAGCCGGCGTCCTTTTGCCCGCCGCCCGGGGAAGGGGGTCCCTTCTCCCCTCCGATTCCGACAGCGAGCCG